GTTACATACTGTATCACACTCTTAGCTGCTGTTACAGTTTAACAACGTACACAGTGCTATACAATGTACCACAAGGTATATTTGGTTTCTAATTCCCATTAGAGTTTAACAATGTATACTGTTTCACATTGTATTGCAGTGTACGTTTTGTCCACAGTTACAAAATTATATTTAACAACGTATACAATATGTGATATAGCATAATGTATGTTTTACCTTTAATCAGTTTTATTTTAACAATGTTTTCACTTATATCATTTTCCTTTACATAAGTTGACAAGCATGAATAATATGCAGTGTTCTCTGACTACATTTTGTTAAGCTATTTCACATTTTAGGTAAATTATATCCAAGTAATTGAAATAAAGTCAATTTCTAGTCACTTGGTCTACCTCTACTCGATTATTCTTATCATAAGCCTAAAGATCGCTGTGAAATAAAATGTTACTCATTCAATAAAGACTTTAAAACATTAAGATACAAAAACATCACATAATTGGGCCCATTTCTAGCTCCCACCAGGCTATTTTCTTCTAGATCAGGCTTCATCCTTTCTCACAGAAAGCTGCTTGAAACAAAGATCAACTTATGTACAATAGACAGCTCTACTGCTAAAATGCTTTATTACTAAAATATGATGACGTAAACAGCACTGCATACGGCATTCTTATTTGCCACAGGTACATAATCCTCCCCCTTATGATGCTACTTAAGCTGATCTAAGTCACCACTTGCTTGTTGAATTTCAGAATTTCTAATGTTTATTTTTTTCAAACGCACACTCACTGGTGAAGTGCTTACTAATCAGAATGTCTCCTGGCTTAGACAAAAATAGATTCACCAAATAAATCAGTAAAGCCTTGAGATGTATCAAAGAAATTAGATTGGTAACATCTTCAGCTTCTAGGAGTCTACATTTTTCACAAAGAAAATTTTATTATAGGCCCATCTTGGTTGCAAGTGAACAAAATAGGCTCCTGCTAACTTCTGCAGAGATCCGAGGGCATCATTCCAACTGGACAGATTCACATATTAGACTCTTTTATCATTTGGGGAAAAAAAAAATGCCTAAAGTCAGAAGCCTAAACAAAAGCAAGTGAACACTGCAATTCTTCCAAATTCTGAAGGATATGTTCCAAGATCCTTTGTGATAGATGCCGGAAGCCAGGGAGCACCAAACCCCCTACTTCCTGTTTTCTTGCTACCCACACATACCTGTGATTACAGATCAATTTACAAATTAATATAAGACAGTAAACAAAAAATAACTCACAATTAAACAGGATAAATATTGCAATCCACTCTCATAAAGGCTATGTGAAAGTGCTCTCTTGCTTGCGATATGCAATTGTACAGTAAGATTTTCAGGCTGCAAATGACCTCCTGGAACTGAACAGGGACAGCAAAGGACAGGGACATGAGCGGCGGCTGCTGCTGCTGCGGACCACTGAGAGAGCGCAGCTTCCCTGCTCAGCTCAAGGACGCAGGTCGCTGTAATCTGGCAGAGAGCTTCTCCTCAAATGACGTCACCCTCAACTTCAGTCACCACAGCTCCAGGAAAGAAAATCAGGTCCTTGCCTTCAAACAATAGCCTGGGGGAGGAGGGAGGCCATACCCAGGGCACCCTGACTCACCCCCAGCCTCTGCCTCTGCTTGTAAATTCCTCAGGTGGCTGGGTCAGCTCGAGACAGAAGCCACCTGCTCTACCAGGCTCGAAAGGTTAAAATCCTTTTTCTCGTGGTCAATTTCCCTTTCAAGTAACCGTGGATACGCAAATTATTAATTACAGCTAGCTCCCTGCCTCATGTGCAATTTCTGAGGGAAGCAAATTACTAAATTTTAAGTAAATAGGAGAAGTGTTTTAACAAATCGAGAATTTAGTGACAAGAACGCAAGCACTGATGGATAATCTCATGGCGAAACACTGCTGGAATACATCATGGAATACAATAAATGAATAATACATGCTGTGATTGCAAAAGAAGCAGGTAGGCTCACTGGATTTTACCAGAAACAATGATCACATCTGTTTTTTTTTTTTTCCAGACTTATTCTTTCAATCAATTATTTTGATACCTTTTAGAAATATATTTTTTTATTTCCTATCAAAATGCAAAGAGCCAATACCTATACTAGGTAAAACATTTTGCAGCACACTGCTGGCTTCTCTGGTTGGTAAGAAGTTCAGAGGCAGGGCTCAAGAGTCCCATTTTCCAAGTTCTGCTACATTTCACAGCTTTATTTCCAAGAAGAGAGTTGAAAGAAGGAAGAAGCTTCTCTCATATGGGGAGGAACCTCTCAGACAGTCTACTTCTGGCCAGAGTCTAGTGATAACCTTCTTTTAAAACTGGAGGGTAAAGCCAGGCATGGTGCCACACACACCTGTAATCCCAGCACTCAAGAGGCTGAGGCAGGAGGATCACTTGGAGTTCAAGGCTAGCTCGGGGTACAAAGTGAGTTCAAAGCCAGCTTGAACTGCATAGTGAGACCTGTGTCAGAAAGGACAGAAACAATAATGAACAAAACACACACACACACACACACACACACACACACACACACAAAAGGAAGGTAGCAGGGTGTGATGGTGCACATCTGCAAGCCCACTACCAGGGGCTGAATCAAGAGGCTAAGTTGGGTCCCAGAGTTCAAGACCAGCATGGGCAACATAGGAAGACTGTCTCAAAGGAGAGGGCAGTTACTGAGGCTCAGCAGCACCCAGGGAACCGTGGCTAGCTTGCAGGCCAGTCTGAGCACCTCTGTCCACGCATCTGCCCATCACTGTGAGGCTGTGTGTGGGTATGGGTGTGTATCCACAGGAGAGAACCACATGTAGTTCTTAGACACTGCTGTTCAACCTCCTCAGTGAAAGACAAAGACACATAACCCAGCCTAAGTCAGGTGGAAGAGGAAAAAGAAAAAAGAAAAGAAAAAAAAGGACAAAAAGACTTAATTATGTAAGAGAAGACAAGAATGCTCCTTTCTTGCCATCACACAATTTTACACTCCAAAACTTTTCAAATGAAAATGTACGTAGGCAAAAACACAACACAACACAACCCAGAGCCTCACAGGTTCCAAAACTTTCCACTTAATGCCCTTCTCACCCTAACAAGAGACTCCTAGGAGTTACAGAGTCTCACTGCACACTAAGGGTCAGTGTGATACTACACTACCTTTCCAAACTTTCAATTCCTCCTAATTTCTCATTTATACTCAGCATTTCTTGTTCTCAATACTTTCAGGAACATCATCATGGATCTCTTCCTTGAATTCTGCTAAAAATCTTCATTTTATCTTTCCATGTACTAAGAAAAAAACTGAACAGGCTGATTAAAAAAAAAAAAAGTCTCAATTGTCACATTACATGAGAAAGAAAGCACTGTAAAATAATTTAGCACCTCTAAAGAGAAAATCATTTTTCCTATGGATTTTCTTGATTATATCCAAGTAAACTTCATACCTGATAGCAGTTATCAAATGCAATTTTTGTTTAGCAACTACTTTTTATAAAATCTTTTGTCATAATCTTGACAAGATAATTTTGCTACATCTTTTCAATAATCCCTAATTCAATAATCCCGAGATATTTTTAGGATTCATCAACCCTTTGCAGTCTGGGACAAATTAAGTTTTTTTTATTCCTTTTGAATGAGGCTATTTAAGGAAATGTTGCTAACTTTTAAAAAAGACAAATGACTTATATAATTTGGGGAAGAAAAGATATGTATTTATACTCAATCCGCTAATGAAATGATACAAGAAATGCCAAATTACACAATTAGGTACAGACTCAAGGTTTTTTGATTTACCTGTACAGAAAGAACTTGCTTTTTAACTGTTGGATGGTAAAAGTTATTAGTAGACTAGTAGATATAAAACAGAATGTATTTCTTGGATCTATTCAGGGAGAAAAAAGGATTTTTCTTCAAGTATATTTTTAGCAAATTCTTTCACATTCCCACAATGGTCTCAATCCTATTCCCAATGTCAAAAGACAGCTTCTGTCCTTGCATTCTGTTCTTATTCATTCATGTTAGAAGAAGCCAACATCAAAGACACTACAATACCAGTAGTATCAGAATTGCTTCCAGAAATCTTCTGTAATATTGAGTCAGGTCTACTCAGTATCTTTGACCCACTGCTTTAAACTCAAGTCTCCATTCCTTTCTCCATCTCTGGAGAAAAAAAGATTACTCAAGGGAAAAAAAAAATCTGGAGATGTTTTAGTGGGAAAACCAGCATTCGACAAGAGCTTCTTGTGTCAGTGAGACACGGAGCATAAGAAAATCCTTACAGAAAGAGCTATGCACCGAGCCCCAGCGTGGACATTTCCAGTACACAGTGAGTAGATTTTGAATAGAGGAGGCTTCCAGTGAAGAAAAGGATCCAGTGAATTTTATTTTCCACTTATTAGGGCCAAGCAAACTATAGGTGTTAATGCTACAAATGACAGTTCTGAGGTAAAAGAGAAAAGCCCTTAATTCACGGCTAACTCGAGGGCTGCCTTTTAGCATAAGCTACAGTGATCCTGGAAAGAAAACCAAGGCACAGACAACAGCTTATAAAAAGTGACTTCTCTGCTGAGTTCTGTGGTCTTTTTTCTTCTCCCCATTTTCCTACCCAAACCGTATTCACTAAATATGCTTACATTAGACTTACCCCATCCTTCTCCAAAGTCATTATTGAGATACACCAATTACAAAAATAAGAATGCAATGGGTATTTAATTCAATGGCACCTGTAATAATAGTGCTTGAGACATTCACTAAATTGGTTCTCAGATACTATCTCTTTAGTTTTATAGAAACACTCAACCCACAAACCTTTACCCTGTAATAATTGGCCCAGGTTTTATGCACCTTATATATAAATTCAGGTTAGGTTGCCCAGATAACTTCTTCCCAGAGCACAGCAGCCCAGCCCAAACCTTTCTGAAGACACACAGACAGATAGACAGATAGACAGACATCATTAAGTAATCCTCCATCAGTGCTGACCTTGTTGTTCAATGTCTGCTTCAGCTTTTGAAGAACCCGGTGCGACAGGAAGGGGCCGAGGTGGCCTGGGCTTTGGAGTGGGAGGTGAGATTTTTTTCCTTCCAATATACTCAACGTAAGTTCCCGGGAAGTCTCCCCTCTCCCCAGTGGTTTCATTATAGCCATTTAACCAGCCAATTTCTTCTGGCCGGGCTTCCTGCCCATCACTGAATCCAAGTGCCACCAAGGACCCTTTGTTTACAGTCAGAATGTCCCCCAGGTGGAGGTCGATATCTTCTTCTCTTTCCTTTTTATAGTCGTACAGCGCTCGGTACTGGTAGCCCTCGGCACTCATGTCTGCAGGCGTTACCACGCAATGGATGCGGCTGGTGGCACGCTGCAGTCTAAGTTTGCGTTCTGACAGCAAAGGAGTTCAGGGAGGGTGCTAGAATCTCTACTAGGTGTCCAGCACAGGACAGAGGGCCACTCTCCACAGGTTTAAGGGGAGAGCTGACTGGCCATCCGGCTGTCCATCTGTCCTCCATCAATGGCGTAACTGGAGACAGTGTCTGCTTCCCGAGTGCCACAGGCCCCGCTGGCTTTCCTCTCAGCAACTTGTCAACACGTTGACTCCAGGCTGCCTCTCACGGCGAGGCCCAATCCTCTCTGACGTTCTTGTCACACTGTCCATCTGTCGTCTGATTTTACTGTTGCACTCCACACTTAGCTTCACCTAGCAAGAGAAAAACAAGACTTATGAATGAACATCACACTTTGCCATCTGCGTGCATCTGAATTTCTACTTCCATTCACCAAGTATTTAATCGATTTGGCAGATGCACGCAGGCCAGGGCACGGCTGCACAAGAGTGAGTACACACGACGGAGATTAGTAAGACGGTCCGTGCCTTCTAAGAACACTGGGCGAGGATGGGAGGAGGGGCATAGGCATGTGGCAATGTCTCAGACATAAGATGAGTACACAGGGAACCAAAACATTAGGTCACCACTGTAACAGAGGCACATGCTAAATGCTACAGGGATCAAGTGAAGGAGAGGTCACATCAAACTGCAGGTATCTGAAGACAGAGCGGAATGTGTGCAGTGATCTTAGGTACAGAAGTGAGTAAGCACATGCTGTGTTCTGGGAAGAGCTAGAACAGACAGTACGATCAATCTGAAGCCAAAAAGGGCAGGGCCAACCTGGGCCGGAAAGACAGGTAGGAGCCACCTGGCACCACACACGCCCCTGTGCAGACCATCCAGTCCACCACAGGGAGCTCTGGGAGGGACCGGGGAGAGAGTAGCAGGTGACTGGAGCGGCACCCGAGCACTCTCCAGCTAAAGAACCACGGTGCATGAGAGGGACTTGGTTTAGGGCAAGAACAGAGGAGAAGAGAGTGGAGGGAAGGGTGCTGCAGCAGTCTGGGCAAGCGGCCAAAGGGCATGAACCTGGGAGGCCGTGGCAGCAGGAATGGAAAGGAAAGGGCTGAAGGAAGAGGCATCTAGGGAAGACTGCGTGGGAGGTGGCAAATGCTTGGGGGGGGAGGGTGTGTGACCCTGCCTTGCCGCCAGGAATTTGATGTCAATACCCAGCAAGGCAAAGCTAGCAGACTCAGGGAACATACAAGATGCAGGCCTCCAGTGGCTGCTGAAAACCAGGGCTGCGATTCGGGGCAAGGGACACGGAGATTTGGTTAACAATCTACAAATAAAGTAAAGATGAATTCAAAGTCAAAAAATCATCCAAAGATCATCCACTGAGGTTTAGGAGCCCAAATGAGAGTCAAGCTTCAAAGTCAGTGTCTCACCCCAGAAACAGGGGCAAGAGGATCAGGGAGTGACAGAGGAGCCCCGAGTAAGTCCTGCATGAGCATCCATATGGGGGAGACTAAGGCACGGCTAGCAGATCTGGTGCACTGTGGAATCATCACCAACTTTTCAAGAAAGCAGAGGCTGACAGTGAGGACAGTGACAAGATTTTCAAGAGTTAAGAAATCTGAGGAAATAACAATGGCTGCTAGAGAGTACTCAATAAAGATACCTGGATGAAGGGGGATGGCCAAGGAGGGTGGTTTTGTTTGTGTTTTTAAGCACAGTGGAGGCCGAGCACTGCACAGTCAAAGACTGCAAGACCGAGCTGGGAAGCCCAAGTGTACAGCTGTGGACCCGCTCTGGATACCGTTCGCTTCCCACCATTATCTTTATCATAAAGTATAAAAGCAGCCAAAAGGTTTCAGTTAAATTGGAAGCACAATAAAGGAATAAAAACAACAGCCATACAAGTTTAGGGCACTATGTCAAAGAGAGCTTTTATAAGTTTTGAAGAGTGAAACACTTCAGAAGTTTAATATCATAGGCACTCTTCAGCGTAGGCAACAGAAAAAGCCAAATTGAATCACAGTCTAATTGTTATGTTAGCATTCAGAAGTGTAAAGTATTCAACTTTACATGGTTAAAACCTCTTAGTGGTAATACAATAACACTCTTAGGAGAGTTACACATGAAAAGGAAGCAAAAACAAACAGTGGAAGCTTTTGTGTATCAAGAATATTAATTTGGGTACTCTAACTTTGCATTGCAGTCATCAGAGAAAAAAATTAATGCAACCAGTGAAGCATATGAAAAAATAAGCTACATTATCTGTCTGAAGAAAGCCTCCCCTTATGAAAGATCCAGAATCAAATTAAATATTCCTTGCATAAATTCACACAAAAATGTAGAACCAGCAAATCTCATTTTTAGTACTAATGTGCTCTGCATGGAAGAGACACAGAGCTCTAAAGAACATGGAAATTTACATATCCCTAAATGCTCGGAAACCAGGCAATATGCCTAAGAATAATTTAATTCTTCCAAATCTGCCTTGAAACTTTTGTGAGCTTTCCTGGCAAATGTATGTCTTTTTGGGTGAGGAAACAAACAAACAAAAAAAAATCCTAAACCAGGAGTCTGGACAGCTAGCTTCTTCCTAGTGCTTCCTCAATTTCAACCACCCAGCAGGCCAGTTTACTGGGATTCTTAACAGAACGGGAAGTACAATGATTCACCCCTGCCCAGGCCCCCACTCACCACCAATTTAACCATCAACTGAGCCTGCTCACAGCATACCCATGTGGCCTTGCACATCCCTCACGAGAGGATGCCGAAGTAAGAAAAAAACCCATGACTTCAAATTTAGCAATTCTGAAAACTACGCTGGAGTCCTTCTGGAGCTAAATCTGTATACTGGGCAAAAGAACCTAGAGGCACCTACACAGGCTTGATGCCACCAAGAGCCACGCACACCATACGTGCAGTGAAACCTAGGCGTCTCTACAAGCGAGGCTCTGCAGAAAAGCCTCACTTTTGTGTAAGAAAAATCCTGTGCAAATCTCGAGTCCTGGTCTGATGCTAGAAGCCCAGACTGTGTATGACTCTAGGACTGCACTCAGAACACACCCTTTGTGCCCTCTGAGATACCACAATCACGGCCAGAAAGGATGGATGCAGACAGGGCAGGTTTACCAGTTCAAGGTCAGCCACAATTCAGGGCAATGTTGTAAAAGAGGAGGAAGAACAGATGAATCATTTATTTGGGTGGGGACTTGATCACGTGAAGGTCTGGTTCACAGAACTTTGCTGGACAGAGGCAGCACACACCTCTGCCTGACCGCACACTATACTTTCTCCTGACTGCCACACCCATTTTAATGACTGCCACTGTCATCATCAAATACTTATTATTGAAGTTGTGCATATCAACCACATTCAAACCCCACATAAAGTGGTGCTTACTTTATGACAACCACATAAAGTGGTGCTTACTTTATGGATGAGAAAACTGTGGGACAGAAGTTTATCTTGGCCACGATATATTCAGTGATTAAGAGGGCGAGTCTTTATTAAGATTTAAGTAGGCTGGCTCCAGAACCCCCAGTTTTACCTCCATCTGAACCTACTGCCTGAACTCAACTTGTTTAGGCAATCAAGGGCAGCCTAGGTACTCCGTGCCAGTGCTGTCAGCGACGCAGAGTCCTTGCCTTACCCAAGCTGGCCTCTGCAACTAACCTTGAACGTCTGCCTTTATTCTCAGACAGCAGCCTCACTGATAGTGTTCGGCTCTTTCACACAAAACTAAAATAAAAAGCCATTATGACTCGGCAGAGGTCCCACCAAGCCTGAGCCTCTGCGCCGCGCCACGCACATTTGCTTCCAGAGACTCCATTCAGAGGCATCCTTGCCTAGGAAGTCCATAAACCAGTAAAGAAAAGCAGCCCTTTGGAAGGCTGCCCACTTCTCACTAGAAGCGTAACTTCTGACACCTGGCATCTGTGTCCCCTGTCACTACCCTGGATCCCTCATTTTCCAACAATTTTCCAACAACTGGGCTCCTTCTAGCAAGACATTTACATGTGGATCAGAAGTCTGGGGACTGTCGGATCTGCAGGACTAGCAACTTCTCTTCCCTCACCCTCAAACTATGCCCAGAACAGTGGAAGACCCGGGTGTCCGAGGCATGGGGCAGGACCTGTGTACAACTCCCGATACCCATCAGGGGTCCAAACTATCAGGCTGACAGACACATCTTTGCCAGATTCACTAGATTCTGCCCATTCTCTTTGGTTGCTCATTCAACTATTTTCCCCTAGATCCAACATATTTACATAACCCAGGTTTTTATACATGAATAATATTCATTATATACAACTTAGTATTTACAAATAACCAAGGCAGTTTTGTGATATAAGCTCCACAACATCCATAAGACACGGTACCCTAAGGTATAAAGAAATCCTATGAACAAATATCAAATTAACTCCCTCACAAAACGGCATATGCAAGTTTCCTCAAGGGAATCATTTTGCTCCAGTCTTTTGACCCTTTTGACGTCTACTTGCAACCCCATGGATTGGAAGTACATTTTCTCTCATGCTAATATACTAAGCAATTCTTATTGTTTTTAAAATAAAATCATTTCTGCCCAGGACATGCCTAGGACCCTGCCCTCTGAGAGGCCGAACCAGAAAGAATACAAATGTGAACCCAGCCTGAGCAACTCAGTGAAACTCAAAATTCAAAAAGGGCTGGGGACGTGGCTCAGGGTGAAGACCCTGGGTTCAATCCCCAGGACTGGAGGGGGAAAAAAAAGTTTCTGATGCTTGACAAACAGTAATCTATGAGTACAGCTGCTTCAAAGGGATTTTCAGTTTAACTCTCTAACCTGCAGGCAGATGGCAAAGAACCAAACAACATTCCTCGAAAGGCCCTCTGATTTTATTGACCTACCTCACTACTTTTTCACAAAAGACATGATTTGCAAAACTGGATGCAGAAGCAGGAATAAAAGATATTTCAGATCACATAAACTAAGTTGAGAATAGTGCACATCCTAGACACTACTTAATCCTGAGATGAAGGTGGTTGGCGCTGGGCAGCAGCATAAAGTGGGTTTTTAATAGAGGCAAGGAGGGTGTGGGGAGCTGGCATGCACGCAATCCTATATCCTATCCCACGCCCCAATGTACCAGCTCCAACTCTAGGGCAAGCTCTCCACCTCAATGCAGTCTTTAAAAGAACTATTGAAAAATCTCTCCACCTACCACATTTTTGCAAATTGTACAGACACATACACATACACATACACACAATCAAACCAACAAAGTTAAACACCCTAGTAAACAGAATGAGTTAACATACTTTGAATTTAAACTACTGTAAAGGATTTGGTGAATTTTACGGTATATGAGTTTCATCTCAATTAAATCGAATGAAACTGATCAGCTTACCTTAAGCTCAAAGTTATAGGCATCAAATCTCTCAATTCACTTTTTCACCCGACTAACTGGCTAAGGAGAATATGCTAGCCGCTGCCCTATGTGGGACAGGGTAGCTAATGTAAGAGGTCACTGGAGGCTTCAATCCCTGTCCACAGCCCATGAGGGAGAGGCAGCAGGTAACCACTCTACAGAAAGCCCAGTGATAGGCACTGTTGAGCTCAAGAGAAGAGCAGAGTGACCCCAGCCCAGCTGCCAGCACCCCTGGATCTCAGTGGTCATCGCACAGAGGTTGAGGGAAGCATTGTTTGAAATGCAGGGCTGAAGAACAGAGCCCAGCACCACAGCAGGCCAAGAGGCCATTGTCACAGCAGAAAGCTCCCGCTCTGGTGACCACAGAAGATGAGTGGAGAAGACGCCATGAAGTCCCCTGTCCTGTGGAACATAATGCCACTCCTGAACATTCTTGGCAAGGAGGTCATCTGAGCAGAGCTACAGACAGGCCACTGCCCCCATCACTGCCTAGATAGCTGACCCTGAGTAAGGCACTTAAACCTCTCAGCAGCAGTTTTATCACCTGTGAGATACAACAAGCAAACTCACACCTCCCAGGGTCATCATGAGGATTAAAAGAAATTGTGCATGCAAGCACGTAGCTTGGCAGTAACAGCCTGATACAATTAACACCATCTTGGGGCTCATTTTGCTCCAGGCACAGTTCCGGGCTGCACATGTGTCAATTCATTTTGTCCTTAACGCTCATACTAGGCACAATCATCACCCTTCATTTGCAGCTAAGAAGAGAGGCAGAGAAAGGGCTGACAATGTCCCTGAAGTTACACAGCAAACTGTAGCTACGGTATTAGCACTACTATTGGTAATAATAGTGCTAGTAGCACAGAATGTCACTTACTGCCACTAACATGACTTGGATTTAAAATGGGAACAGATATCTTCCGGGGGTTTTCTCGCAAACTGCTGCTAAAGGCTGCACACAGTTCTCACTGAATCCCGAAGCAAGTTGAAATAAAACGTGCTGGCCGTGGATAAAGGCTGCAGCTGACCTTTGTCCCAGGAGTTCTCTCTCCACCCGAGGGTATCGAGGGTATCGGTGCCTTGGTGGAGGCCGGAGCCAAGGAGACCTGACCCCTCTCAGAGCACAGGGAGGGGCAGTAGGTGGCGCAGTTAGGGAACAAAACTGCTCCTCAAAGAGTTCGTGGACTACCTCAGAAGAGGAGGGGAGCAATACAACCCTCCAGGGACTGAAGGTAGCTGCAGCCTCATGGACCTGACCAGAAGGACGGCAAGGGGCAATGCCAGCCACCGCAGGGCATCTGGGTTTATCAAGACACTACTCCCCTGGGGCACCCTCCACAGACTCCAGCCAGACGCCTTTGCCTTCAATACTCTTTGCGGTGATCATTAACTTCAAAACTATTTTGACTACAGGTGCTTATGGGTATGTTTTTGATTTATCTTACAGAAAACAATGATGGCAGCATAAAATGTGCAAAGGTTCTGTTATAAAATGTGCAAAGGTTCTGCCTTACCCTCATTCCACCCTTTCACAAAAAGATGGGATGGGTAGCTAATATAAGCCAAATGCACAAGTTTGTAAGTAATGCCATGGTTTATCTTACAATTCATAGGGCTCAGTGTACATGAAATGACTTTCAAACATCACTCTTAGGCAAGTTATTTCAGTAAGAGCATCGGCAGAATCCTGTCGAGTGATCCCATTAGGGTGTAGGTGGAAGAGGCTGGAAAAAAACCTAACAAGTACAGTAACATGAATACTTTAAAAGTTGGTTGGTGCACACTTATAATCCTAGCATGTGGGAGGCTGAGGCAAGAGGGCAGCTGTGAGCCTGTGACCACCCTGGGCTGCATGGTAAAAGTTCAAGGCAAGGTCATGTGACAAACACACACCACACACATGCACACGCACACACACACACACACACAAAAGTTACAACTTAGATTCTTAATAAAAAGTCGCAATATGATTTATATTATGTCTCCTAAGTTACAAACTAAATTAACCCTTTCTATAGATTGGCAACTTTCTAGACTCCCGGGACTTCACTGTCATTCTTCATGCTCTTGCTGCTACTGGCCTTAGGCCCTGCAAGAGAGATCTGACAAATCTACAAATATACAGGTACTTAAGCATTTGTCATTTCTGCTGCATTGTGTACACCTCAAATGCCAGAGAATTAAAAGTAAAAACATGCAAACATTATCGCAGCTTGCTATGTTGTACCTGTCCATTACGTCAATGGCTAACTCACAATCTATTCAGTAAGGCACACTTTGCAAATTACAAAATACAAACACTATAAAAGCTGGGCTAGAACTGCTCCTATTTTAAGGACCACACTTTCTTTCAAAGTAGATGCCTTTTTACAATACTCCCTTGAAATACCTGGGAGAGGAAAAAAAGAACTTTCAATCAACATACCAACCTAAAAATTACATGGCATTCATGGAAAAATTAAATTAAAGGGATGGCCAATACTTTTAACAGTATAAAGCTGGGCAAGTTGAATAGATTTGCACTTAAGCTTCAAAAAGCCCTTCAGAAATCAGCCAGGTGTAAGATGCAACTGGCATTTCCAGAAGATAAATGCCTACCTAGTCACCCCTGTCAATAACCAAAAAAAAAAAAAAAAAAAAAAGTTCTTGTAACTTATTGTGCCGCTTCTGTTTCTCAAAACCAACTTTACAATAGAAATGTATTGTTTTAAAAGCTGAAGAAAACTTCAATAGGAAGTGAAATGCTTGTTTACAAAAATCATACAGCATCACAGATATGAAGACAATGCTGTTACTATCAGCATTAAAAAAGATAAAACAGCTGACAGCAATATGTACCTTGTAGAGTGGTTATGCAACTAAGAAAAGGTCCCAAATTAAGATGAAAATTAAAAGTCAATACACCCATCCCGTTGAAAGCCAGTATCAGATGTATAAAACTTCCTTCCAAACATAAAAATCTATAGAATTGTATGAAAAAAGTAGTATCACCCTCTGGTGCCGACCTGCAACTGTCACATCAAACCTAAAGCCAGCAGGACAGTAGCCAGCACTTCTGCAAAGCTGGGAGCCTCCCCAGTTGGCCTTTCCAATTTAAACTTGGACTGTGCGCCAACAAAAAATTTTACAGCTTAAAAAAAAAAATCACTAAGATTTCTTTACAACGAGCAAAAAAACACTTGTAGCCCAAAGCTCATGCAACTATTATACCTAAGAAAGCTATCATATGCTTGCCTTTCAGGGGTTTATTGCAAGAACAAGCTGTCGAAAAAGTGCCAGTACCTTTTCCTGTGCTGAAGTCACCATATTCCTGATTTATACCTGAACATCTATCACCCAGAGAGACCGTCTCAGAAATGAACCTGTCCGCCTACTCGAATTTTTCCTAGCTAATAACCATCTTTAAAGTTGCCAAAACGTAGCAGAAGCTAATGAAATACTAAAATGTAATTGCACATAAAGCCTAGGTCAAAAAGCTTTGTGAATATCCCGCCTAACATCTAAAACTTGAAACTCCTCACACTGAAATGACAATCTCGTGCTGCATTCAAAACCTGGAACTGCTTTATCCGTTCCTACTTTGGACGGACTGACAAAGAGGAAAAGAATGGGTTTGGGGGAGCACCCTGAAGTCCTCCAATCCCCAAGTAAAGAGTAAACTCGCTGGCTCTGGGACTCGCCCGCTCTCAGAGTGTGCGGCTCCTCCAGGAACCACCTTTCCGGTCTTCACAGCGCCCGAGGCAGAATTCCCCCAAATCCAGTTCCTACACATTCTGCATTCAACATGTAACAACCATTCAGCTCACATCCTTGCATTTTTTACTCGAATTCTGGTTCTTAAAATACAATTCTGCAAGCAGATACCTGGCTGGAGCTGTTCTGCTCTCTTTGTCTCGCGATCTGAGGGGCAGTTTCTGCCTTGGGAAGTGACCATAGGAGCTGTAGATCCCACCCGCCTACCCCCCACCCCCGATATTTCAGCTCCGGCTCGCTCGCTTGCATGCTCTCCCCAGCCGGCTCCATATTGCTGGGCAGATCCCTCCAGTCTCGCCTTGCGATGCAAAAAGCTGGATTTCCGGGCAAGGCCGAGACCCCACCAAAGGTGCCTCCAAAAACCTGCCTCGCACAGGGCGCACAGTCCGGCCCTGGCGACCGACCGCCCGGAGGAGCACTTCCCCCACCCCGGAAGAGGAGGGCAGCCAACTTCGGAGGGCGGGGGCCGGGGCGCGCTCGGGGACCTCGGGGACCCCGCCTGCCTGCCGGGGGCCACGACCCCAGCTGCAGCTGGAGGCTGCGGGGGAAGGGAGCGCTGCTTCTCGCAGACAGGCAGCGGCCGAGGCGCCCTCCCCGGGCCGGCCCGGGAGGCTGCACCACCGCGACAGGGGGACCCTTGGAAGCGTGCGGCGGCGGAGGGGAGCCCGCGCTCGGTGGCACCCCGGGGCGAAGGCGTCCGCGGCGGGCAGGGCCACAGCCGGAGCGGCCGCGGCGCTGGCCCCGAGCCGGGAGCCCTGCCGCCCGCTTCCCGGAGCCGGCGCTGCAGAAGCAGAAGCGGCCGCCGGTGACAGGAAGAGCACGGCCGCCGCGCGTGCACGCACCGCCTCCCCCTCCCGAGCACACTCATGGGACCGCCGCGCCCCTACCTCCCCGCTGGCTCTTCCGTCGCGGACCCGCGAAGCACCCTCCTGAGCGCACGGTTCCCACGCGCCTCCAAGCCGGCCAACCTGCCCGTCGATCCCGGCTAGACGTCTCCGACGCACAAGTCCACCGCCCCTCCTGTGGCCGCCGCTTCCTCCAACTCCGCTCTAGCTGCTAGCTACTCCTCTCGGTGCGCCCGCTGCTCCGGCACCCGCGCCCGGCCCCGCCCCCGAGCCCTGCCAGGCCCCGCCCCCGATCCCGCGCCAATCAGCGCGCAGCCCCGCCTCCGCGCCCGCGCCGCGCCCTCCGCCTCTGCCTCGCCTTGCGCCGGGCTACCCCGGTTGGGGGTGCCGCTCCAGCCGGCTCGGCCCTCCGTCTGCCCCTTCTGCGGCTTCCCTCCACCGCGCCATGCAGCGGTGATACCCTGGGCGGCCCGGCCGCACGCTGCCCCCGCGCCGCAGCCCTGCTCGGTCCGGACTGGCCCGACAGCTGGGCGTCGCCGGGTCCTGGGGCGGGGGATCCCGGGAGGGTGTAGGCAAGTTCAGGCCTCCTGGGGCCCAGCTGTCTCCGGGCAGCCCCCGCACCTAGCAGATGGTTGGGGTGCGGGGAACGCGGATTCCAGGCTCGCCAGAGTCCGGGGTCCTCGTAGGTCCTGGCCGCGCCTGCCAGGCCTCCCTAGTGGGTCCGCTGGGGTGAAGGAGGGGTGAAAGGGTGAACCCGCGGGACGAGTGCCGGAGGCCTGCCTCGACTCCGCGAGCCTGGCACCGCTGCCTCGGGAGCAGGCGGGACCTCGGCGGCGCCACGGGCTCTGCGAGGAGGGCGCGGGCTGGCTGACCTCTTCGCTCCTGAGGTGACCGGGCAAATGTAGGTCGCTCGTGGTAGGGTGGGAGCTCGTGGTAGGGTGTTTCTTAAACGTGTGCGTTGTAAAAGGCACATCTTTAGGGGGGAAAAATTATTTAAGTTGCTTAAGACAAATTTGATGTTATATTAACCTCCCGCTGATGGTAGATGGAATAGTGGCATTTGTGATCCAATCTGTCCCATTAAAATCTGTGAGAGTTTGTTTCTTTTTAAAAGCTCAGTGACTGTGTTCGCAGGTTGGAGATCAGCACAGCACACCTTGTTTGCCCTAGAATTCTTTTTACAAATCTTTCGCAATGCCCCTACAAGAATATTACTAAAAAAAAAGAAAGAAAAGACATTTAGACCTTTGTCACACTTTGAATTTGGTGATTCTTTCTGTGGGCAATTGAAGTTAAGAGGCCAGGGAAATAGCTTAGTAGAATAAGCGCTTGCCTGGCAAGCTCAGGGTCCTGGGTTCAATTCCTGGTACCACCAAAAAAAA